ATTAGGCAAAGTTCTTTTAGTCATTAATTTATTTAATCTCAACACAAGTCAACAAACGGTTAAGGAAACATAGTATATGCACAACAAATAATGCATAATTAGTCAAGTAGGCACGATATGATGCAATGAGTTTGCAACCTAACCATGACTCTAGTTCTCTAAAGTTCGAGATATAGGTTAGTCAATAGAGGGTCCATGGTTAATTGTTCGGATGCACCGCGCAGAAGCCTAACCGTGAAGGGTTGGCGCGAGTGGATGGGACACCACGAATTTAGAAAAACTCACTTCCATGGTTTGGTGAATTCAACATTCTCGGATGTACCCTTTGTTGCTCAGAGCGTTCAATCAGGTAGATGGAGCATGAATTCCCAGAGGGTTATGTCCATATGTAGAACACATACGGGTTTCAGAAAAGTGAGAAAAACTCAATGAGGAAGTAGGATCGAGCAAACAATGCGAAAAATTGGTCGAAATTAGAACGCATATTTCTGGCTCGGTATTGGAAGAATTTGGCGCCAGCAAAAGAGATTAGCGCCAGGTTTTAGCTGTAGCGCCTAGCGACAGAACTGTCGTATGGCGCTACAGTTAAAATTCTGGCGCTAATATTCTGTTCGCTGACGCTAATTCCTACATGCCTCAGCAGCTTTCTGTGCTCGATAAAATTTTCCAGTTTCGCGCAGTGTTATTTTGGTCCTATGTGAAAGATATTTCTCAAATTTCCTACGTGTAAAATCCTATGTTTTAACTCATTACGGATGGTCTTTCCAATGAGATATTTTTTCTGCATATGACAATAATGTTAATCAAAATTACGCACATGAAATACTTAGAACGTTTCGAGTCTCATCCACTCAATCTAAATCATTGTCGAAACAAATTCAGGAATTAAAATAGAAATCCTCCCCAGTAGAGTCGCCAAAAACTGTAGGGAATATTTCAAGCGTTAATCCCCAAGCTTGAACCCCACTGTGGTCATACACTAAAGTACGGTGGCGTCCAAAGGGAAAGAAGATAGAGCAAAAGAGTCGCCAATAAGTTTTTTAGAAACTTGTAAACCGTTCACGAGGTGAAGGTTACACCCCTTAACGATCCAAGAGATCGTCAACTCCAATAGGTCTTGAACCATGACTGGTGCTCGGGGATGAAGGTACAAATCCAACCTAAAAGAGATTGAACCTGCCTAATAATAGGCCTCTACTTTATTCTGATCGTACTCATGCGCGCTTTCTGACTAACATGCAATCAATAGGATTAACCCTAAACCTGTTTATCTATATTGGTTGAATATTAATGCACAAATAAAACTATTATTGGCGATCACTTGAATTATAATCAAATTAACCCTAAACAAGTTTATTAATTATCTTATTAAGCGTGATTACAAGTACAAATTCCCTTTAAACATGCATAAAAGGTGTGATCAAGCAATAGAAATAAATATATCAAGCAACATAATAAATTAAAATAATAATTAAAATAATCATGATATTCATGTTAAAGCATAATAATAGCAAGATCCTAGGCATGATACTAACAAGATTAATAACAAACCCTAGCATGTCACTAAACATCAAAGATCAAATATTTAGCCCTAACATGATATTAACAATCATAAATATTAGGAAGAACATAAAAGGCATCATACTTTTAATCATACTTGGTATTAAAGTTACCCTAGACATGATATTAGGAATTTATTGTTGTCACCCTAAACATCAAATTAAGGAAAACATCCTAACATGATACTAGGAATTAAAATAACAATCTAAGCATGATTTCTATATCATAATATCAATTAAACCATTAAAGTACTTACTTGGATGCCTCGTACCTCTTTCTAACAACAAAATACATACGTTAGTAACTTCAAGGATAATATAATAATTAAAACAAATAAATCAAATAATTGAAATAAAGATTTGGGACCAAACCCTCAGAAATTAAACCTTTCACGTCTAGGGAAAAGGCAACTTCGAACTTGGCTAGGTGTTTCTAAATCTAATGAATGCGGAATTTTTATATTTGAGAGAAGGCTAGTTTAGAAAAAGAGAGAGAGTAATCAAGAAAATCTTGATGAGAGTTGGTGAATCAAAACGGAGTTTTTAGGAGACTATTTATAGAAAAAATCAGCCAAAAATATAAAACATCAAAAACAGAGTTCTGACGCGTAAAACCAGGTTAATTAGCGCCAAACGCTGACCTTAGCGCTAGGTGCTAAGGCTAGCGCCAAGCGTAGCGTCAGGCGCTACAGCTGGCGTTTGGCGCTGACTAAGAAATTGACGCGTTTTCTTAAAATCAGATAGAAATTGTCGTAAAGGAGGATAAAATCATATTTTCCTCAAAAACTTTCTTTTATTCTGATTAAAACTCTAAAAAGTCAACAGAAGTCAATTTATCAATGCTAATTGAATTAGGAATGAAAAGAATTCTAGAAGAATCTAGAAGACTAAAACCATTCCTAATTGCATTAGGAATGATAAATCCATATTAGGCCCTCCTCTAGATCATTGGGCCGCATATAGGGCTCAAACCGGGCCCAGTTTAATAATTTGGCCATAACTTCCTCAATATTTATCGGAATTGGGCTTATAATATATCGTTGGAAAGCTCTTTTCAAACCCCATCCAACTACACTACTATTGGACCTATATCATGGACCAACCAAACTGGATTGACTGTTTTATTAAAATAGGTTTTCAAAAACAGAGAGAAGAGAAAAGGAATTAAAACTATCCGCAACACTAAACTTTCCACACTTTCACTTCATTTGATTATGATTCGACGTAAAAGGTACTCATCACCGGGTTTGGTTTTTGGGAGACACAAATGGGTGTCTACAGTTTCACATTTGCAAATCATATAAAATATCCACAAACTTGGATATGAAGATACTTTAGGCTTACATAAATGGGTAATCAACAATAGCTCTACCTTGCAAGTTTAATTTTAGGATATTACGAATTAATATATATATATATATATATATATATATATAACGAAAAATTGTCAAAAATCATACATGCTTTGAGCGATCCGCTAAAAACAAGTTAATCTTTTGATTATTATTTCTAAATAATACAAATTTTGAGTAATATCCGCTTTAAACGAGATATTTTACCTACAACCTAAATAACCGGTAAACATTTTAAATACTTTTGAAAAACTCATTTAAGAATTTAATTAAATCCTAATCAAAGCTTTAATCATAGTTAGTTGATGATTAAAATAAATAACAATAATAATAATAATAATAATAAATCCCCTCCTTCACCACAAGCCACTCCCTCTTCCCCCACCCCTCGGCAGCGCCAGCACAACTGCCCCGCCGGTCTGTCACCTACCTACCATCAGCGTCGCCCTCCCCCGAACCACCAATACACCATCACAGAAACTCCATTCCCCTCACCCTCAACCACCAATAACGAATCTCTCTCCTTCCCCACGAAACCCCTTCCTCCACCGGTGATAGCTTCAATTGCGAGATGGTGTTGCGATGAAATGCTTTTTAAGGAGCTGATGGAAGCGTTGTGGGAGAGTGATGGCTAATTGGCCAGTGGAGTTAGACAGGGAAATGGTTGATGCGCGTAATAGTTGTGAGATCGAGAGTGAATTAATGTTGCACTGGTTGATTGGTGATGGTAGGTGCATATGCTGCTCAATAGGCGCAGGGAACATGTCTGATTTTGTGGGGTTTTGCGGCAGTTTGGGCATGGGTGTCGGGGCCATTTCGCAGTAAGGGGAAGGGATAGGGCTAGGTCGGGAGCGGGTTAGGGTATTGGGTTGGTGGTCACCGGATTTCAGGGGTGGTGATCGGCGATCGCCGGCAGTCAAAGGTGGCTGTCGGTGATCGATCTTGGCAGGGTTGGGGTTGGTTAAGTTGGTGGCTGAGATTTTTTTTAATCTAAAATAATATTATAATAATAAATGTTATTTTATGGTTTCAAAATATAAATAATGTTATTTTGTATTTTTGTAAAAATTAAAAACATTAAAAAAAAAAACCAAATTAAATTGTTAAACCAATAGAATGATGACACGTGTCCCATATACCTTCTAATCAAGTCACCAACCGATTATAACCTGTTTAAAACAGATACTCATCAAAGTTTGTATTATTTAGAAATAGTCAAAAGATTGACTTGTTTTTGGCGGATCAATTGATTTTTGTATTATTTTTGACAATTTTTCCTATATAAAAATTAAACATAAGTTTAATACAATGAATTTTATGATGATAACAAAATAGTCTTGTTTATAAAATTATCATCTATACTAAAATACGTTCGCTATAACATGTTCATATTTCATAAGACAAGACTCACTTAAATCAAGGAACAATATAAACCTAGATTTTTAAATTCTTTAAGTATATATGTAATGGGAGTAGTTAGGATTTCAATTTTTTATTTTTTTTTAGTTTTTTTGGAGAAAAACGAATTAGTGCCTTTTATAAATCAATGTTAATTTGTCCATGAGAGCATACGGAGAAACTTGTACAGGGCAATGATTTTCCCAAACTTATTCTAACCCGAAAGGCACTAATCTAGTAAGATAATGAGCAACAGAATTCTCATCCCTTCTAACATGAGACCACGAGACATATTCGAGGTCTTTACCCAAAAAGAAAACATAATCTAAAATAATGCCTAAGTCATTGAAATAAGTAGCACACTTCGAGAGGCGATCAATAACAAATTAACAATCATACTATCTGATCCCACTATATGATCCTTTTGAAGCCATAACGCTTAGCACTATGCAATTTCAGGTGGCCATCTCCCCCAAGTCCGCATGGACCAGCCTACAACACCTCACCAGCAGCGTTCCTAATCACATCCCCTAGCCCCACCCAACCCTCATCTTTCAAACATGCATCACAATTCACTTTTATAAAGTCTGTGGGAGGGAGAATAGAGGATGTCAATTTCAGCCCAATAATATATTGACATTGTTAGTTGCACAATCACTAAATATTTAAAAATTAAAAACTAAAGTATTACCTTAGAGAATCCATTAGGTAGTTCCTCAATCATCCAACCAGATGGATGATTCCAATAATAAGTCGAAGAATAACTACGATCAGAACCTTCAAACTTATTATAGGAAACGTTTACAATCACCCACATACCTATCTTAATCTGTTGGCAATGTTGAAGCAAAATATACTCTCTTGGCGAGATTATTGGTGATAGAATATGCATCTTCTGGTATATCTACATTAATTCCTCATATATAGTTATAAAGAAATTTAATCATACATTAATTTTCTTAGAATTAATGTTACTATAAGGGGACATTATGTTACCAGCTGCAATGAGCCACTTCGACTTTCCAATAAACCAGCTTCTAGTACACGTAAAATTTCTGCTTTTGAAATAATCGTTGGAAAGTTATCAGCCCACTTATTCTACAAAATTACAATGATAACTAAAATTAGTTCTACAATAATACGATTAATTTGATTTTCATGTACTCCTTCCCTTCGTGAAAGTTCGACTCACTTTGTATTTGTGCGGTCTCTAATGAACATCTTTAACCATGAATATATTCGGCTATGTATAAGTGAAATTATAAAAAATTGATATTTGAAAAATTTATAATAAGGGAAATCTAATAAGATCCCTCGTGCTAATTTAAAGCTATTATATAAATCATAACATGAGATCAAAGTTATTTTATTTTGACCAAATGAACAGTAAGTGAGTCGAACTATCGGGAACATGTAGTATATACAGCACAAGGCAGGAAAGGTTTTCGAATTTACTGCATCTAAGATGAGATCCACTAACGATTTCGAATTCAAAGCAATTATGTCTGTATACTTTGAGGATTCCATTCTCGAGTTTTGAAATCTATGTTTCTTAAGCCCATCATAAAACTTTTCAAAACTGTCAAAATCAAGATTATAATGCCCATTTATTGGACACTTTATCCAAAAGGAATTATCATCTCTTAAATGATAATTTAACACATCCATAGCACTTGCAACAATTTGAACCATAAGCATATTTTCCAACTCTGGATGGGGATTCATCATGTTATTTGAATTAAGATTTTCATCATTGACATCATACACTACAACAAAAACGAGCAAAAGCGACAGTCAAATGCAACAGTTAAATTTAGTGCAATGGTTTGATGCAACGGTCATAGCTAGTGCAACGGTCTAATGCAACAGGTGAAGCTAATGCAACGGAATTTTTGCCTAATGTAATGGCTTTAAAATAACTGTTGCAGTAGCTCTTCAAATGCAACGAATTTCCAGCCTATTGCCACGGTTTTATAATGACTGTTGCACTAGTTACTCGGTATTATTATCACGCATGTGCGCGGTGAACTACTGATGATATGTTAACTTTTCCAACTTTCTCGAAAATAGACAACCCTCGTCTCTTTTTTTTGGGGCTCTCCTCCATTGAAGCTCGCATCTTTCCTCATTGAAGCCCGCAACTCTCTCTCGGTCTCTCCTCTAGTGAAAATCTCACGCTCTCTATCCTTCTATGAACCTTTCACTCGTTGCATTCTCTCTCCTCCATTGAAGTGTGAATTCTCCATGGTACTGTTCGTAGTCTAAATCCTCCATTGAAGTGACTTTTGAGCTTTTTCGTCCATTGAAGTAGCTTTACGAGCTTTCTTTTCATTTGAAGCAACATTTGAGGTAATATTTTCAAACAATGAATATCAATTTCGTCATCTAGGATTTATCGCTAATTACTTGCATCATTATATTCAATCTAGGGTTTAAAGTTTGATTTGAAGCACGATTAATTTACTGCTCTTGTTTAGCTTGTTTCAATTCTAAATTTGTTTCTTTGTTTTGATTTGTTCATTTTTGCTCAAGAAATTGAGAAAAATGGTGATAATTTTGGAAATTTGAAATATTGACCTTAATTAGTTTAATTCTAATTTTGTGGGGTTTATTGGATTTTTTCTGGGTTTACGATATTTGTTCAATTGTTGATTACAAAACATTTGATGGGTAGGGATTTGGTAATTGATACTCTCATCAATTGGGCAATTCATCGTCATCATTTCTACAAGATGTAATCTCATTTTTTCTCCTATCTCAAATCAATTTTGATCTGAATTCTTGTAAACTATGTAGGCACTGATTTTTTTGAAATAAAGTACTCATTTCATAAAGTACAGTAGGAAGGGGAAGCCTAAGTTTTGCCCATTAAGACTTTCCACGGTGCCTATTCTTCTTTTCCCCCCAGTTTTTCTCTATTTTGATTAGTGACTCATGTTTGGTTTTTAATATTTGGTTATATTTCTTGAATCATATTTATCTAAATTTTACTTATTGAAGTATAATTTTTACTAGAAATACTTATATCACTAATGGTATGACCACAACGTCATCTTACAGTGGGATTAATTTCTCAAATCATCAAGGTATTCATCTACCATACTATCTTCTAGTGTGGGAGATCGGATATTTATTATTTACAATCATGTTATAAATGCTTGTTGTCTGTTATGTACTCTGTCTTTCCACTTCAATTGATAATTATTACCAGATAGTCATTAGTTTATGCATAATGTACAGACATTACATCTATAAAAAAAAAAAAAAAAAAAAAAGACAAATTTTAATTATCTTTGCATTGTTTACCTGATGAAGCAAACTTTTTGCAGACCTTAACTTAAAGAAAACACCTCAATTGGTTGAGCCAATGAACATCAGTGAGGTGAGTATCTTCCACAAACATTAGACAGATTTACATCCTATTGAATTCCAATCCAATCTCAATGCTTTATTCATTAGTTTCTCAAACTTTTACGATGCTAAGTTTGTTTATTACCTTACACTCCTTACCACCTAAAAAAGTTCATAAAAGAAATTTCTTTCTATTTGCTTAGCTAGATAGATGAATGGGCAGAGCTTGAACATAACACATCAATTCCTAGATGAGCAAAGATTTAATAGTATTAAAAGAAAAACCCCAAGCAAAACAATACTCTGTTAAATATTGCATGCTTATGGAATTTTGTTTGTATTTTGCGTAGTATAAAGAGTTCTATTTATATTTGCGTATACTTTGTTATTCCTGATTTATATGCAAATTGTTTTCAGGTACGTACTCCCATATCCATTCTTGATTCCAAAGGATACTTTAATTTGATTTACTGATCAAGGTCCGTCAACTTTTATTGTAGACTTATTTCCACATTTTATATTTTAGTTGTTAGCTAGCCACTATGTTTGGTTAAAATCAGATATATCCAGAAAGTAGGATGAGCTAGCATTTTGCAAAAATCAAACCTGGTGATGTTGTAGAAGTGAAAGGGTAAGCTCCTCCGCCATATTTTTTTAGTGACAGTTAGGATTTTAGTGCAGTTATTGATCAAGTTGCTTATTTGAATTCTTGTACAGACCCATTGAGAAGCTTAGTTTACTCCCATTATGAAGAAACACATCGGCATGGTAAGAAACAAGACCTCTTACCTTTTAATTAGTTTCTATTTTTATATGAATTATTCTTATGAGATGAAAAGAACAAGGCCTCTGTCATACCTTTTAATTTGCATACTGAACTTATTAATAGGGTGAGCAAGCCAGGCCAAATCTGAAAGGGTAGTGAATGAGATCTTTATACTTATATTCGGTGTCTTAAATGAATTGGCCATTATAGGAAGAGATAGGGGGGTATATATTTATGCAAGATCATGTGTTTGTTCCTTGGAAAGTTCTATCTAATTACTTATACCGCTTGGCGGCTTGGGTGTTTAGGTGGGACTAGTGTCACTCCAATGCTTCAAGTAGCTAGTTAGTTGAGGCTATACTGAATCCCTTAAGATTAGTTCTCTAGCCTAATATATATGTTCTTGGTGCATAGGAGGATTGAATAAATTGTGTTTAGGTGATAACGTATTTACAATCTATGTTTAAAGAGAAGCTTCATGCTATTTGTCTATCAGAGTTAGTTTGATTGTTGTGTTGGGATAAAGAATTTGTTTTAGCCATATAGTATGGTTATTATTTCCTCTCTATTTTAATTTAATGTTGCTATAAATATTATTTAGTATTTGTTTTATTTATTATGTAGTCTATGATGATAATATTCCTATTTTTTTTTTTAAGAAATGAAAATATTCCTAATGTCATATTTTTTTTTGTATAGGTACACGATGAACCACAATGAGTAGAACATGAAAATTGACATGATTGTTGTGACACTCTTGATCGAGGATTGTCAGACTCGTACTTCTTAGTTTTGAGTTACTTTTTTTTACGGTAGTTTTAAATTACTTAATGACCTTGTTTAGGTAGATATATTAGGAGAATATATGATGCATTGTAAAGAAATGTATTTTGGCTTAGGAATTATTTCAATGTAGCATTAATTGCATAATTATACAATATAATTAAATTAAATACTATACTTTTTTAATCAAAATGAAATGATTGTTATTCAATTTTGTTTACCTCATTTGTATATTGAACGTTCTGCCTACCAAACTATCTTCTGGTATGTTGCATGCTAACCTCGACGAAGGTCTACTCATCATGTTTTCCAGAAGATCAATTACACTTCCAAACTGCATAGGATAGCGACAATGTTAAAAGTTTACTTCCAAAGTCAAACATCAAAAAATTTCTTAAGCTAGAGCTAAAGGTGATTATTGGGCGGGCCGTGTCGAAGCAAAAAAAATAAGCTCACTTCTCGGGCCGGTTTTGGGTCGGGCCAAGCTTCGGGCCAGATTTTGTTTGTGCCCAAACACGCCCAAAATGGTGGGGATGTGTGGACTTTTTGGATCATTTTTTAGTTGGTCTAAAAAATCAACTAAATATGCATAAAAATGCATTCCCAAACCCGCCCAAAAATATAAATTTTCCGGCTGGGCCCGACTCGATTTCGACCGAAAAATCTTCCCAAAACCCGGCCAAAATCAGGACGGGTTAGGCCGGACTGACTTTGATCACCTCTAGGCGTAGAGCTTACAAGGCCTTGTTATATAACCAAAACTAGGTAAGACAAGAAGCAAGACATTTTTTTTAAAACAAAATATGGTGTTATCAAACTAATTTCGTTCTCTTAGAAAATCCACATACTTATTATAAGTATTATAACAATTGTTTTTTTCCATTTTTAATATTTTTTAAGGATTAGTAGCATACATGAAACACGACAATATGATATTTTTTTTTTCGATATAGCTAGTGTTCCTTGTGTTTTGAAAGCGTATATATATATAAATGGGAAGAAAAGAGTTGGACTTTGTTTAATAAGAAGTTGACAAATTCATGAACAATGAAGCAACAAAAAGATAAAAAAAGGCAAAAAGGTGAAAAAGAGCTGAGGAAATATACATAAGGTATCATCAAGAAAACGTCTTGATCCAATATAAGGTTTAGGGGAATTGTACATGATTAGATTTAGAGGTAGGCAACGTGCCATGTTGGGCCGCCGCGAGCCGTGTCTTGCTGTGCATGTTGGTGGCTTGTGCCGTGTCGTGCCTGCATCTTGGCGTGTCGTGTCAGGCCGGACCACTATTTAGCACACCCAAGCCCACGGCTCGGCGCGGCCCACGTGCTTGGCGTGCCGGGTACTAGGCCAACCATATTTGTTTTTTTAATTTTTTTTTAACAACTTTTAAAACGGATATACTATTTAAATAATTTTATTAATTTATGTTTATGTTTTTTTATTATTATATTGTTATTGTTCTTTTTATTATCTTATTTTTATTATTATAGTTCTTTATTACGTAGTATTATTTATGTTATTTTATGACCATGCCTAGCGTGTCGTGCTGGCAGGCCAAACTATCGTGCCGCCCGCAGGTTGTGTCGTGCTCGTGTCGGATTCTTGAAATCGTGTTCACGGCACGAACCACAGCCCACTCCTTAGTCACCGTGTCGTGCCATGCCACTAGCAGGCGCATGTCGTGTCGGGCCAATCTCGTGTTGGGCCCGTGCCGCCCATGGGACGACACGACCCATGCCCACCTCTAATTAGATTAGTTAAACTCGAGTGATTGATTTGTGCACCCGGTAAAAATAAAAAAGGCGGAAAGAACATACGAGTGTTTGAAAAAGAACATACCTGTATTTGACAAAAGAACACGTTTGTGTTTGACAAAGAACATGGCATTACAAAGAACATATAGTCTTTACAAAAGAACAAATTAATATTTTCATCAAATTAGCCATAGAAAAAGAAACTCTTCTGTTCATTCATTCTCGTCATAGTTACTTAGGTGGTTGAAGTCAATTCTTCAATCCCACTTCCTTATTATTCTACTTCTTCTTCTTCTTCTTCTTCTTCTTCTTCTTCTTCTTCTTCTTCTTCTCCTCTTGATCACGTTCTAAAAACTCATACTTTAATTTGTGCTTTTAATCTTCTTTCTCATGATATTTCGATCTTCCTTCCAACCTTCACCTCGGCGACGATGGTGATGTTGATGAGGTTGTTTTCCTTCCCGGTGATGCTCAATTGGATGATTCTTCCCCTAAATCGAATTAAGTGAGGATTATTTTATTTATTGTTTAAGAATTTTAATGGGTTTTGTTTGAATTTTAATTTTGTGGTGAATTTGGGGTGTTTTCGTTGGGATTTTTTTTTTCTTTTTGATTTGATTGTTTAAGTGATTGTTCTATTCATTTTTCCGGGTTTTCTTTGATGTTTTTGTTCAATTTGTAATTTTGAGTTGAATTTAATATTTTTTTAATGTACATACATTAAAGAACATACTTTATAATTGTAAACACCTAAAAATGTCTCCCCAAAACCAAACCCGATGATAAACACTTTTCACCGCCATTATTGGTCAGGTTGAGTATTTAATCTTTGGAGTGCTTAAATCCATGTTCTATCCAATACATTTCATAAATCAATCCATTTCCTAGGTCATTTCCCTAAACCATAACTTGTTATCCACTTTTCGTGTCCACATCGCAAAACTGAGAGAAACTGATTTTTTTGGTCTTATAATTTGATACAATTGTTATTTACTTGGATAGGCCTTGAAATAAGCTTTCCAACCATATATCATAAGCCTAATTCCAAGCTATAACGAAAAAGATATGAGCAAAACACTAAACTCGGCCCAAAACCAACACCCTTCCACTAAAACGGCCATATCGTAAAATCTACAAATTATTTTGACCTTATTCTAATTATGTTAGAAATTAGACTTGATAAGCTTTCCAATGATATATTAAATGCATTATTCCGAGCTACGGATCAAAAGTTATCGCAATTTTAAAAACGCATAAAAAAATTAGAATCGTCACGCAGGCAACAAAACCACGCACCGCGCCGCGGGGGAAAGTGACGTGCCACAATACCTGGTACCGTGACACGGGAATTCTCAACGTGTCACGGTGCCTGGTGCCGTGACATGGGAATTCTCGTGCTGGTTTCCGTGTTCTTTTAATGTGTAAATTCCTCGCGTCACGGGAGATGATGACGTGGCACGGGGTAGGTACAGTGACACGGGATTTTTCACCGGGTCACGGTGCTTTCCCGTGTCTTTTCCGCGTTTCATTCCCACGCACTTAAGAATCTGGACGCAAAAACTCCACCGTGTCACCGCCACCTAATAATTCCGACCACCGCCACTGCCTAAACCCCCTAAACCCCACCACCAGCCAAACCGCGAAAACCACCAGCCGACCCCCCAAAAATCGCCTTACAACCTAATTCCGACCACCGTCTAACCCCCATCCCATTGCGTAGGTTTCCTCTTCCCCACGTTGGTGTTGTGAACCCCCACCATCCCTCTTTATTTCCGGCAACAATTCTCAATCGAAAACCACCATCCCCCTTTGAAACCTCTCCCTCCTCTCGAAAATCCCTTAAAACTATCTCCCCCACTATCGAAAACCGCCGAAAACCCTCCCCCACCATCAAAAACCCTAGCCGCTAGGGTTTCGGAGTGGTGGGAGGAAAGATTCGGTATTTTTGGCAGTGGGCAGGGGTTTCGTTGGTGGTTTCGTGGTGGAGTGGGAAGGTGGTTCGGGGAGAGAGGAAAACGGCGACGCCAGGGAGTGGGGGAAGCGTGGTGAGCCGGCGAGGGAGGGGCGGTAGGTTGGAAGGGCGGTGGAGGTTAGGGTGGGTCGGTTGGTGAAGCGGAGGTTGAGTGGTAGTTTGCTGATTTTTGGGTTTTTTTTCATTTTTAAATAAAAAAAATTCTTTTTTTTTATTATATTTGGACCAATTAGGACTTGACACGTGTCAAGTGACCTGATATAATAGGTGTACACACCCATTTGTGTCTCCCTAAAACCAAACCCAGTGATGAGTACCTTTCATGTCGAATCATAATCGAATGAAGTGAAAGTGTGGAAAGTCTAGTGATGCGGTTAGTTTTTATTTCTTTTCTTTCTCTCTGTTTTTGAAAACCTATTTTAAGAAATCAGTCAATCCAGTTTGGTTTGGTCCATGGCAAGGGTCCAATAATAGTGTATTTGGGTCGGGTTCAAAAAGAATTTTCCAACAATATATTATAAGCCCAATTCCGATGAATAATGAGGAAGTTATGGCCAAATTACTAAATTGGGCCCGGTTTGATCTTTATATGCGGCCCAAGGATCTAGAGGAGGGCCAATTATAGATTTATCATTCCTAATGCGATTAGGATTGATTATGGTCTTCTAGAATCTTCTAAAAGGTTCTTTTGAATCCTAATTAAATTAGTATTGATAAATTGACTTTTAAGAGTTTTAATTAGAATAAAAAGAAGTGTTTTTAAGGAAATTACAGGTTTACCCTCTCGAACGCCTAAACTTTATCAAAATAAGAAAACGCATGGAAAACTGATTGCAGCGCCGTACGACATGTTTGTCGCTTTGCGACAAACCTGGCGTCTGGCGACAGGCGCGTGTTTGGCGACAGCGTCATGTTTTATTCTTTTCGAAACTCTGATTCGTTTTTTATCATATCCGGCTGATTTTCTTTATAAATAGCCTCCTAAAACCTCCGTTTTCAATCACCAACTCTTGTTAAGAAAATCTTGATACTCTCTCTCTCTCTTTCTAAACCAACCCTTTTTAAACACAAAATTCCGCATTCACAAGATCTAGACACACCTAGCCAAGTTCGAAGTTGCCTTCACCCTAGACGTGAAAGGTTTGATTTCTAAGGGTTTGGTTCCAAATCTAGTTTAAACTTTCTTAATTCTTTCTTTCAATTATTTAATTTAATTCTTTAATTTTATATTTTCCTTGAAGTTACTAACGTGTGTATTTTGTTATTAGAAAGAGGTACGAGGCATCCAAGTAAGTGCTTTAATTGTTTAATTGATATTATGATATAGAAATCATGTTTAGGTTGTTATTTGATTCCTAGTACCATGTTAGGATGTTTTATTTCTTCCTAGCATCATATTTAGTGTGATTTGCTTATATCAATTATGATTTCTATGATGTTTCCTATTTTATTTCCTAATATCATGTTAGTATCATGTTAGGGCTAAAGCTTTTATTTTTATTGTTTAGTGACATGCTAGGATTTGTTATTAATCTTGTTAATATCATGCCTAGGATCTTACTATTATTATGCTTTAACATGATTATTTTATCATTGTTATTATTATAATCATGATTGTTATGATGATTATTATTATGTTGCTTGATTATATTTATTGTTATTGCTTGATCACGCCTTTTATGCATGTTTAAAGGGAATTTGTACTTGTAATCACGCTTAATAAGATAATTAATAATCTTGTTTAGGGTTAATTTGAGTATAATTCAAGTGATCGCCAATAATAGTTTATAGTTTTGTTTGTGCATTAATATTCAACCAACATAGATAAACAAGTTTAGGGTAAACCTAATGATTGTATGTTAGTCAGAAAGCGCACAAGAATACGTGAAGAATAAAGTAGAGGCCTATTATTAGGGCAGATTCTTTCTCTTTTAGATTGGATTTGTACCTTCATCCCCGAACACAAGTCATGGTTCCAGACCTATTGGAGTTAACGATCTCCTGCGTTGTTAAGGGGTGTAACCTTCACCATGTAAACGGTTTACAAGTTCCTAAAACTTGTTGGCGACTCTTTTGCTCTAGCTTCCTTCCCTTTGGACGCCACCGTGCTTAAGTGAGACATTTAATTATATGGTTTTTTCAATTCAAATTATAAGTTAATTGATAAAGCATAGCATATATGTGCCTACCGTGTTGGGTAGTTTATTATATTTTGAGAACAAACATAACTAAAATCAAAATTAAAACATCTTATTTCATAAAGATAAATAAAATTAATAAAGCGAACAGGAGAATGAGTTAGATTGATATTGTATTTTCCATTAAGTAGCATTTAAAAGGCTCATTCATTGAATGGAAGTATTAACACTATATAATTATTGATCGTCCCAAAACATTCAAAATAAAAAAAATGCTTGCTTGTATCCTCAAGAAGAGGATCAAACATACGGATTTCACTTTAAGGGATTCAAATGTGACAAGAAATCTCCAACTAAATCAATTTCAATCAAATTTTAAGGTGGATATCTCAAGCTTAAAACATATTGGACTTACATCATTTAGAATCAATCCCTCTTGGCCTACTTGTTGTATACTAGCTCCATTTCTTTTTAGTTGACACATATTTCTTTTTAGGAATTTTGTTTTAGTGGACACGTTTCCCTTTAGGGTAATTTTTTTACCTTGCATTTACAGTTACCCCATTTGTTTTTTCATTTTCTCTCCCTCTCTCTCTCCTCTCCTTAATATATGTACCTAAATCAAACGTGTCAACTAAATAGAAACGGAGGAAATATTAAATAGGTTATTCATATTTTCTTTTTATTGAAATAATATAATCTCAATTAACCAACAATATAAAAGAAATGAGAAGAGTTGGGGAATTCATAACTACACTTTCACTATCGATATTTGCTATTGAAAGATGTACAAATTCTATTATAAAGAAGAATTGATAGTAGATTTGGAATTAAAGAATTCATAGATGGACCTAATTCTAGTAAATAAATATAAATTCAACCAATATAATCCAAGGAGGAGCAAACTAAAATTCACTCTCCAACCTATACAATAGTTAAAGAAGAAATGAGATGCCAATCACCATTCTAAGATAACAAAAGCAAACTTTAAACCAATGTAATGGAAAACAAAGAAGATGAAAAGTTTAAAATTGAAAACTATTGCTTTGACGGAGTAAAGATTTCTTACTCTTCTAGCCTCTTAGTTTGCTCAGGCGTATGTCTATGTATGATTTTCTTCCCATGGTGAGAATCGGAACCTTCACAGTCCTCAGTGCATCCACTTACACCGTCGTGATTATCGCAATTCCTCACCTGGTTTACCATTATTATTCTTTTATTACGATAACCTAAAAAAAAATTATTATAAGATCATTACTTTGATCGTATAACTTATTGTTGAGGTGAATTTCTCACAAAGAAAATTGAAAATCACTAAGACTTAACTCAATTTTGATTTTGCATTCTATTTGATTTACTTTTATATTGATTTGGACAAATAATTATAAACTGAATCCGAAAAAATATTTTTAATGTGCCACAAAATTTTCTTCTTTATGAACAGTCTAATAGGTAACAAATCAAAAGAAAAATCTTTTCAAATCAATAATATCTGCCATCACAAGGAAATAAAATCATTTTTAAAAATGGGCTAATGGCCATGGTAATTTAATTAATCTCTCTCTAACCCAGACAACCATATCCGTTTTGAGTTCTTTTTTTTTTTTTTTTTTTTTTGACACAAACCGAGCAAAGCAATTTATTAATCAAACAAAAGTTTCATATCATCCATTACAAAATTAGAGATGCCCAAAGGGACCTCTTCCATCCAAACTCTAAGATCATCAAAAGAAAAACTTAATTTTGCTAGCTCGTGAGCAACCCGGTTGCCTGCCCTCTTCACGAAAGAAAATGAACAAACTTGACATCTAAGAGTAAGGTGTAGAATATCATTGACCACAAGGCCAAATTCAGTAGGAGGAGCTCTACCCTTGACTAGATGATTGTGAAGCTTCAGACAATCTGTTTCAAGGCATACCCTATTGAACCCCGAGTCAAGAGTAATTGCCAAGGCGTGCCGCATTGCTAAGGCTTCAGCAACATCAGCCTCAACCTTTCCACTCCACCTTAAGCACGTTGAGACCACCACATCACCCTCCGTATCGCGCATCACACCCCCCGGACCCACTCCAAGAGTGCTGGAAACCGCTGCATCAGTATTGATTTGATCGTGCCATGAGGAGGAGGCAGCCACCTGGATTCCAAATGTTGCGGGTTGGAGTTAGTGTTTGTATCATCCTTCGCATTTTCATAGTCCCCAACGATGCCCACCGCCTTGTAAATGATATCATTCACATCTCTTTTCCTACCTTCAAACACCCACGCATTCCTTCTCAACCAAACTCCCCATAAAATACTCCAAAACAAATTCCACCATGAGGGATCTTTGTGGCTTTTGCGTACAGAACAACACCACTCCCTGAAAGAATTCCCTTCATAATAATCCACCAACAACCTCAAGGGAGATAGATACCATATTCTCTTAGCATCCTCACACGAAATCAACATATGGAAAATACTCTCAACTGAGTTACCACAAAGAGGACAGATTGTATCCAATTGCATACCTCGTTGAGCAAGACTACCTCGAGCAGCCACAACATTCATTAAAGCGCGCCACCCAAAAATTTTTATTTTGGGAAGGATCTCAGCATCCCAAACAATTGACCATTCAAAACTATTTGACACATTCGAAGTCGAGGCCGAATTATTTTTTTGCTCCATGGTGAGTAAATTGTAAGCACTTCTAACAGTGAAAGTTCCATCTTTTGTAAAGTGCCACACCCACGTGTCCTTCCTCTCAAACATAGGAATAGGAATATTTCAAATATCATTAATCTCCACAGAGGAGAATCTGTCAGTAAGCACATCAACATTCCAGGCATTATTAAGCCACAAATCACGCACAAACACAGGCTCACCATCATCGTTTCTTTGTTCCGAACCTACCTTAAAGTGGGGCAGGTTGGGAACCCATGGGTCTTTCCATATGTGGATAGTAGACCCATTGCCTATAGACTTCCTTGCACCTCTTGCAGTGACGTCTCGTACTCCCATAAGTGACCTCCAAGTGTAACTCGAGTTCGAATATACCTTGGCATCCATTAGAGTCGTATGGGGAAAATACTTCCCCTTAAGAACTCTAGCAACAAGAGAATCTTCATTCACCATTATATGCCAAACCTGCTTAGCAAGGAGAGCATTATTGAAATTCTTCATGTTTCTAAACCCGAGACCCCCCTCCTTCTTTGGCACATATAGCTTGTCCCACGCAATCCAACACAACTTCCTTTCCTCACCCTTTTGTCCCCAAAAGAATTGACGACATAATTTTTCAACTTCATTGAGAATACTAGTAGGAATCGAAAAACATTGCATTGCATATGTCGGAATTGTTTGGGCTATCGACTTTAGGAGCACTTCCCTTCCGGCTTGTGACAGAAAATTTCCTTTCCACCCCTTCAATTTTTTCCAAATCCGATCTTGAATATTATGGAACACTTGCTTTTTTGAACTACCAATGTAAGTTGGTAATCCAAGATATTTATCATGTTCTTCGACGGCCTTAAAAGTTAACTTCATCTGAAGCGTGTTTTTCCGTTCTTGCTCAATGTTTCGGCTGAAAGACACCTCGGACTTGTCCATATTCAATTTCTGACCCGAAGCTATTTCGTAGGTAGCGAGGATTCCCATCACATTGTCAACCTCCTCCTCAATCGCTCTCACAAACAGGAGACTATCATCCGCAAAAAATAAGTGAGAAATAGGATTTACATTTCTCCAAATTTTAATCCCATGAACAATTTTTCTCCTTTCTGCATCCCGGAGCAAAGATGACAGACCTTCCGAACACATTATAAAAAGAAAGGGAGAGATAGGATCGCCCTGTCTGAGCCCTCTTCTAGGCTTAAAGCTTCTCGATGGTTGCCCATTTACCAACACCTCAAACTCTGCAGAACTAACACATTTCATGACCAGACTCACAAAAGATTCCGACAAGCCCAATTTTATCATTATTTTCTGCAAAAAATTCCCATTCGACGCTATCATAAGCCTTACTCATATCAAGTTTTAGGCCTAAATAACCTTTTTTCCCTTTCTTCTTTTTTCTGAGATAGTGGAAACATTCATAAGCAACTAGCACATTATCAGTAATCAATCGGCCAGGAACAAACCCACTCTGCGACTCATGAATAATAAAGGGGAGTACTAACTTTAATCTGTTAGCTAGTACTTTAGTCACAATTTTATACAACACATTGCACAAGCTAATAGGTCTATAATCAACAGGAGACTCACACTCTTTTTTTTCGGAATTAGCACAATATGAGTCTGATTAATAGTACCTATGTCCCCATTATTATTCAAAATATCTAAAACTTTATCCACCACATCTGGACCAACAACATCCCAAAATTTCTGAAAAAAGATTGCAGACATACCATCGGGACCGGGGCTTTTGTCGGATGCATTTGAAACAAAGTTGTACGAACCTCTTCCGCATCAAAAGGGGCTGCCAAATTGTTGTATTGCCGTTCAGTTACGATATTTTCCACTTTCTCAATGACTGGTTCAGGTTCAACATGACTGTTTTTTGCAAAAAGCTCCTGAAAAAAATTCACAAAGACTTCTGTAATCTGCTCTTCATCATCAAATTCGGCCCCTGCTCCATCCTTGATCTTCTTAATCTGATTCCGAGCTGCTCTCTGCTTCGTCTTCGTGTGAAAAAACGTGGTGTTTTTGTCCCCATGCTTTATCCAGTCTTGCCTACTCCTTTGTTTCCAGTACATCTCCTCCCTTCTCTCCAATTCATCCATTCTATCATCAATTGCCCGCATTTGAGCAATCACTTCCTCAGTCTGAGTTTCTCCCATAAGTTGCTCCATCTTCCCCTTACAGGCTTGTAACTCCTTCACAAAGTCTCCAAATTTTTCCCTACTCCACGCACTCAAGTTTGAGGAGGTAAAGGCAATTTTCGAGCAAAGATCCCCTCCTCTTTCCCAAGCATCGGACACAATCTCCGCACAATTTTCATCACGTAGCCACATAGCTTCGAACCTGTACATCTTTTTTTTTCTTTTTTTTCTTTGAAGTATGCAGAGCTTCTTTGATAAAAAGGAGAATCGGCAAGTGATCAGATTTTCTCTTGGTGAGGTGTGATACAAAAGAGCTCGGGAACAAATCTCTCCATTCACGATTTGCTAGATATCGATCCAACCTTTTTTGGATGTTCTCATCTCCCCCACGATTATTTGACCAAGTAAAATCATGGCCGACATACCCAAGGTCTTCAAGGTGACAATAATCAACAGCCTCCCTGAGAATGTCAGCTTCTTCACTATTGAAGACACGACCCCCCATCTTCTCTCTTGACTGCAGCAACAGATTGAAGTCGCCCCCACAGAGCCACGGCCCCCCTTGAGAGTTCCACAGCCCCTTAAGCAGCAAGCCCGTTTTGTACTTATTTTCATCCTCGGGGTGCCCGTAGATACCTGTGAAGCGCCACTTTTTCTGACCACTTGAGTTTATAACCGCATCAATGTGATTTTTGGAGTAATTGTTCACCACAACATCAACCGAACTCTTCCACATTAGAGCCAAACCCCCTTTTCTTTTCCTTCCCTCCCCTTCACACTCCACCACCATAGCACACTCATACTTTGTTTTTTGTTTTATTTTTTCAAATTCAAAAGCTTTCAAACGTGTCTCGGAGAGAAACACAATTTGGGGGCACTCAAGGAATAAAATCCTTTTCAAAGCGTTAACTGCAGGGATGCCACCCAAACCCCTACAGTTCCACGAGATGATGTAGCTCATTGATCACCGAGAGCCCACCTTGACAGAATTAGCTTCTAAGGCTCTCTTTTTATTACTATTCGAATTGTCAATACTCATACTACTACTATCTGTGAGCTTTTCTGCTTAGCTTTTCCTTTTCCCTCCAGAGATACTCCCACAATCCTCCATGCTGTGATCAGAATCTCTAAAATTGCGCTTCCAGGTTTTGTTTTTCCCACTCCCCTGCTTGCTCATATTTCCCTCCACCACAGATTGCCCAGCTGCTTCTCCCACCTTCTCACCACTTTTAAAAACAAACTGCTCATTACCCCCATTATCATGAAGCTCTTCTATTCTCTCCTTATTGCTCAAGTTAACAGACTCTAGTTTATCCGTCATCTCCTTCACCGGTTTAACTATCTCCTTCTGTTCACTATGCTTCGGTTTGGTGACAAACAAAGTTCGAGCGCAAACACCACCTTTTCTGTCTGTAATTTCTCTGGTGCTGACATTAACCTTCCACGGAGAAGCTTTCATACAATTACCATAAGGAAGGTCCAGATCATCAATGTCCTTATGGTCTTCACAGTCTTTAAGACCATGACCCATCATTCCACAAGAAAAGCAAAAAAGAGGGGGCTTTTCATATTTCACCTCAAAGTTTTCTTCAATTCCCCCTCTTAATTTCAGTTTTACATGTTTGAACAGGGGCTTTCAAACATCTACTAACACACGGATTCTTATGGATTTGTCAATGCCCACCTGTGCTGCAGCATCCAATTTAACAAAGATGCCTAATTTGTTACCAATTTTTTCTACATTTGCAAGATTCAATCTACCTTTCAATGGGAGGTTATAGATTCTAAGCCACATAGGAAGATGAAAAAGTTCTATATCAGAAGGTTTAATGGAGTCAATAGTATCACCAAGAATCAGAGCATGCTTGTCAAAGTGCCATGGTTGTTCGTCCTGTACTCTCTGCTTATCCCTCCAGTGATAAAATTGAAAGAGGAAACGATTATCCCCAATGTTTGAGATATCAATCCCATGTTTAGGTTGCCATACTCCCTTCATAGTAGTAATGAAAGCATTAAAATTAATTTTTCGACTAGTCCAGAGTTTACCTACCAGAGCAAGTTCAATTCGAGCGTCCTCATCATCCTCTTCAGTTTCCTCCCAATCAATCGCTTCATCGTCAGTTACAGGTTCATTTAGCAAGTCAATGGATCCTTCTTCACCATTTTCCTTCTCCACAATCGTTAGGCTTTGGTTTAAATTGGCCATCAGAACAAACGCAGGAATCAAGAGCGCCAAAATTGATAAGAAACAGAGCAAAAGGCTTGATCTTTTGATCGAGATAAGCCTCGAAAACGAGGAAACCCTAGCGAGAAAGCTAGAACAAAACCCTCCCAAGGCTCAACCTAGAGGGAACAGGGAAAATATAAGGCTATGAAAACACTATCTTATCATGATCGACGGAAATTAAAATATGATCCGTTTTGAGTTCCTACATACACTATTTTGGTAAATGAAAGTCAATACATTACTATGGGCTATGGCATAAGGGGGAGAATGGGGTAGGGGGGATTGGGTGGGTCGGCCGGCGGTGGGCGAGCAAGCCGGCGTCGGCCGACCGATTCCTAGGTTGGGAAGGGTGGCTCGGCGCAGGAGACTCGGGGAGGGGGAGAGTCGGAGAGGTGGTGGCGGCAAGGTGGTATCAGGTTGAAATTTTTTAATTAAAATTTTTATTTTTTAAAAGTTTAAAACCAATTACACGACGACATGTGTCATAATAACCTATTCAACATGATTCAAAGTTTTTTGCAGGT